TCCCAAAGTTGCCACAGATTCGATTGAACTGTTCCATTTCGTGGTCACTTGTAAGGCAAAGCTGGCTTCTGTAAAGCTTGGTGTCGGAGTCTTGTGGGTAGAGCAAGCCTGTGGCACCCCAATACCAGCTCATTCCATTTGAGCGCATTCAATGTACAGCTGCTAGAATCGTCGGCAACCAGATCCTTTCCAATCTCGACTCTTTGGCCTTGCAAAAAGATGTTTCATGTCTTTGTAGGTATTGGTATGCTGCAGGTATTAATCCAAACAGTTTTGATTAATACCAGCTGCTGAATTTTTCCATTGTACAACGCGTTAAACTGCCAAACACCATAGCTACCGCCTCGATGGTTGGCAGTCCATCACAGTGCATTTTTTACGTCATATTCTGTCACGAATTAGGGGAATTACTTGTTACCAGCAGACAGATACAAATTAGGGACCTACAACAAAGAGCCTAAGCCTACCTTAAAGGTCGGCAATGCATTTGCGATTTCTCCGATGTTGCGAGAGTCCACGGATGGCATTTAAAACTTAGCAAAAGGGGGCTCGACGCGTAGGGCAATTAAAAATGTCTCCTTTTCCAAGAAAAATAAATAAAGTGTCTTTAGAAAATAAAACATTCAGTGACAGAGTGAAAACTATTTCTGTAATTCCTGATTTCAACGCATAAAGTAGAGATCGCTTAGAAATGTCTTCAACAAGAACAATAAGTAACACACATTGTTTTATTTTAATATTATGTACCTATATGTAACTAAAACAATGTATTTATAAATATAATTGTCAAATTAAAACCATTTTTATTAAAAATACCTATCAATTCATTGCAGGTTTAAAGTTCCTTGTTTATAAAAGTTGAATATTTGTAAAATTTTTTTTTTCATCTGTCAAATAGCCAATTGACACACGTCCAGCGTAGCAGCCGAAGTGCACAGAGCAAAATAACAATGCCCCAGTTATTTCGAAAATCTCACCGCACCTGTTTTAGGTCGGCGCATACACGTTGCCAGTTTAGTATGTATTTCATTTCGTCCGGTTGTTCACCTGAGACGCGCATCTCGCTCCCCTCCGTGATATCCGAGACATGACATCGTTTATAAACTACTAGCGACCCGCCCCGGCTTCGCGCGGGTGCAATGTATTTGGTATATAAACCTTCCTCTTGAAACACTATCAAAAAACTGATCAAGATCCGCTGCGTAGTTTTAAAGATTTAAGCATGCCTAGGAGAGAGAGATAGTGGGACGACTTTGTTTTATACTATGTAGTGATTATTAGATATTTCATGGGTACCCAATGCAATGGGGGAATTATGAGGAAGGTTACCTAGATCGAAGAGAATTTCATTATGGTGAATTCATTCCTACTTGTTACGCAAAGTCACAAGCTTGTGCTATGAGTTCAAGTCAATTGATAAAATGTATCTAAATTTTTTATTTTAAATTAATTCACATTACAGATAAATAAAGATCCAGACCATTACAAATCTTCAACAGCAGCTATCATCATTTCAGCTAAAAATATCACAACAAAAATAACGCTGGATTATTCTTGTTACTTATAAACATATTATTTGAAGTATACTGTGCTTGGTTGTGCCTAACAGCTTCCATTAGTATAACACGAATATGTAATTTATGTAAGTAGTCAATCTCATCGACCAGAGCTTACAATAAATACTACAGACGTTTTATTTTGACGGAACCTGCCAGCTAATTACCGACACGCCGTCATAATAGCTGCACGTGCGACATCATATACATATACACAATTATTTATATAAAAACAATCCAGTCTGTTTTGGTATGATAGATACTTGGCAAGCCAGGCCATTGACGTGGCATTTTAGAGTATTTGTTCATCACTACACGTATGCCTAATTGATATCTTAATCTTAAGCATTTATATAATTTTAGTTGATGTAGATAATATATATGGTATAGTTTTTAATATTTTAATTCACTAAATATTCTGACGAATATGTGTAAAAATCTCTTTTTAGACAATTTGAAACATTTGCTTAGTTAAAAGAAGACGCACATTAAATATTCTACAAAGCAAAAAAAATGTACGGTAATACCGAGCATATTATTCAGTCATAAATTAACAAAAAGTCATAAAGTTACAAAGAGATCGACCTTGATTATGAACGCTTTTTCATATACCACTTCGATGCCAAATTATAAAAGACGTCTTGATGCTACGACAAGCATGAAATCCCTGGATTAATGTATTTTTTATTTATATTCGACGCGGGTTATACATCAGGGACTGTTTAAAGTAAAAAAAAAGTTAAGTAAGTATCAGCATATAGGTAAAGAGGTAACAAAATTTCTCAATTCTTTAAATTGAATACAAATTACATTAATTCTATATAAAACAATTATATCATAATTGCTGGCAAATAAATATTAATATTACCGTATTGAAGATTCTAGTAGTTATGAGAACTTCTAATGAATACAATATTATTGAATGTACTTGCCCTGAACTTCTTAATACTAACGTTTAATTCGCTCATCTGAGTTTGTTCTAAAATAAATTGATGTTTTTCTTGTCCCTCTGCCACAGATGTTGAAAATTAAAATTCTTACATTTGTTAATGAGCAAGTGTTTTTGTTGTTCAATATTATAATATAAATAGTAACATGGATCGAACGTAAATTGGCGTAAATGACAGATTCCCCTTCACTACACCATCCGGGATAACACTAGACCCACAGTTGGTGTAACAACAATCACCAACACAACGCGTACACAAGGTACACCCGCGTTCCGGGGCGGTTCTCACCGCTCCCAGCCACCGATTAGCTAATTGCAGTCGACGGCCATCGGGGTTTATGTCCGAACCGCGACCTCGATGGCCCTTAGATGACACACCATAGTTAAACGCACGCATGAGCACATGCGCGGCCCTACCCTCAGTGGAGGGCTTAAACCCGTGGGTTCTGGCTAGCACACCGGTTCTGCGTCAGATGAAGCTTTAATAGTCTCGCGAAAAAGTAAAGTAACAGCCTATACATGCCCCACTGCTGGGCAGAGGCCTCATCTATACAGAGGGTATCAGGGCATAGTCCACCACGCGGCCCCATTGCGGTTTGGCGGACTTCATATATTTTCGAAAATATATATTTCTTTGTTATTATTGCGAAAATATGCAGGTTTGCTCACGGTGTTTTCCTTCACCGCGGAGCACGTGAAAAGTCATCACTTAAAGTTAAAAACTTCATTGGTGCCGGAACCGGGGATCGAACTTAGGTTGCTCGAGTATATTGAATTAAAGGCGAGAGCCCGGACACTGAGCTATCACGGCTCGAGTCTGACTGAGTCTCGCGACTGAAAGCAGAAATATCAGTTAATACAAGATACAAGGTAGCCAACTCTATAAATAAATCTTTTACATCATAGAAATTTAAAATAGAACAAACTTTTATGAACCTGCTATTATCGAGTTTAATGAATAAATAATATGACTTAAGAGAGGTGTCATATTTAATTTGTACACAATTAATTATAATAAGGGCTGGTTTATCTCTCACGTATCATCTGTATTATAATAGAAGAAATTTTCCCCCTTATTTTAATATTATTCTAACGTGATAAGAGACCTGTTTAAAGGTACACCTGTCACGATAGAAGGATAGATTATTTTGATTTAGGTTTCTAATTCAAGGATTATGACAATGACATTATATTAACCTAATGAATGTGTTCGGTCTATGGCCCATGTTAGCTCATTAATTATTCGTAACTTCCATAACTGTTCCGGTCCTAAAGTACGACTCTAATTCATTAACTTATACATAATAATTGAATTTTATTACCGATTTAATATCTTCTATAATTATTATGTTAATTTTATTTGGGAATTATGGATATAAGAATTGAATTTCTAATACTCTATTCAATTACGTTAATTTGCAATGAATAAATACAAAATTTTTATTCACATTTTCTATGCGATTTGGAGGAAATGGATATGGGACTTCATGGGTGCCGGTAAACCGAACTCAATGCAAACAAAATTAAAGTCGGTTCATAAATGACGGAATTATGAGGTAACAACATATAAAAAAAATACAAACAAATTGAAATATGCAACGGAATTATTTTGAGACGATTGAAAAGTTAGTCAAATCACTGATCTATTCTTTCACTCCTTTTGCCAATGATAATTTTAAAATGTCAACTAAGTTGTTACTGTGCAAAAGCAAGCAATATGTGGGCTCAGATGTGGTATAGTTTTTACCACGTAGGTACAAATAATAATAACTTTATTCAAAAACAGTTGCAATGTATATAATTATAATAATTAACTTTATTGTCATGTTTGGCGCCACTGTTGAAGCTGAAGAACGCTGAAATAAAAAGCAAACGAGCGTTCCAAATATCACTCCCTCGGCCCACTTAACGGTTCGACATTTGACGTGATCTTGACATGCTCCTCTCTTGTTTTATTGCTATTTTATTTTTGGTAGCTAGAGGCCGACATTTAAATGTCTAAAATCTACAAAACTTCACAAGTTGCACACACACACACACGGGTCGTCCACACACTGCCCTAGGACAAGTTGCACGAATGGTCAGGTCCGTCCGGGGAAGTACCACGACCTCACAGAAGACCGGCGTGAAGTGGAAGTGTTATACCTCTGCGTTTCATCCGATGAGTGGGGTAACCGGGGTCCACCCTATTTAAAAGGTGGCAACGCATCTGTGACCATACGGGAGTAGCAAATTGTCCATTAGCGGCCGCTATCACTTAACATCAGTCGAACCGTTAGCACTCTTTCCACCTTCTCACCTAAAAAAAAATATAAATTAAAAATGACTTTCTTGTTTCAGATGCAACAAATGATTGAATCCCCAACTATATTTTGGACCATTTTCGTAACAATAGACATTATTACGAACAGAATGATGAGACGCTTTCTGCGATTAAAAAAAAATTTACTTTCTTTTAACGTCACTCAAATATTCACCTTGTGAAAGTTGCTTAAATGAAAATCATAGATAAGTCAAATTCGATATTAAGAGTGGCTAACAAGGATACAGAGAAGATGTCGCTGCTGGCTCCAAGAAGAGTACAGCTCGATTGGGCTCACAGCATTCCATGGTAAGAATAGTTTATTCTGAATTAAACAAAGGATAACTATTAGGTATTAGACCTCTAACTAAAAATCAGAAACTTTAAAATAATTTAAACCCATAACATTCGAAGCATTATGACATGTCAAGTAGTTGACATGTCATAATGCTTCGAAGCCAACTCGCCTTCGTAACATTCCATGGTATAAAGTAGGAGTCGGGAGTATACAGTAATAGAAACGCATGGTCTAGTTCTTGTATCTTGTATTAACTGATACTTGTGTGAATGCAAGATTCTTCATCATCATCATTTCAGCCTGTTTGAGTCCACTGCTGAACATAGGCCTCCCCCATAGACTGCCATGAAGTACGATCCTGAGCCACCTGCATCCATCGACTTCCCGCACATTTGCACAGGTCGTCAGTCCATCTAGTGGGGGGTCGTCCTACACTGCGATGGCCAGTACGAGGCTGCCACTCGAGAACCTTTCTTCGCCAACGGTTATCGGAAAGATTCTTAATTCGTCCCGAGATTCTTAAACCTTTATTGAACGCAGAACCGATGGGCTAGCCAGAACCCACGGATTTGAGGCCCTCCACAGTGGGTAGGGCCGATGGACTAGTAATTTTACTAGTCTGAGTATGGGGATGATTTTTCTGCCATCTGCCGGTAGAAATATGAACTTACTTACTAGATAATTATTGAATTTATAAACAACGTAATATGAAAATAACCTATTAAATAGAGTTGTGACTTGAGTTGTGTTGTTGTGTTGTGGTTTTTATTATTTTTAACTTCCCAAATGGCTATCGATGTAGCTTTGATAAAAATCTAAAAATTTTAAAATATTTATATACATTTTTATCGTATCGTTCGAGTATCGTTTGATATAAAGTTAGTTGGAGTTATATTATATTAATAATTTCAACCCTATTATTATCCAAAGGTCATTGGCCTCAGTGCGTAGTTAGTTTCCAACTTCATACCACATTGTGAAAAATCTAACCCGTCAGCTGAGCGGGCGTGGCTTACTTCACTCCGGTGAAAAGAATCTGTCATGGCTCCGCGATCGATGTAGACCTGTGTCGAAATCGAAAGAAAATACGAAAAATGCTGTCGTGTAGCACGATGAAAGACGTCAAACGCGTCATACTGGCTTTTTAAACTGCCTAACAATTAAATTGTTTAAAACGTCGCGCTGGTTCAGTGTATTTTCAGTGAGTTTTCAGCACATCTAAATATATTCTCCGTCGATTTGAGCGACGGTTTAGATTTTATAGGTAAGTTCTATGTATTTACAAAATGTATCTAGCAAACATATATTGTCATAAAGTCAATTTCAATAAAAATTTATATAATTTAAATTTTATTAAGAAATTTTGCGTGAATAGTTAAAAAATCGATTATATGTGGGTGGGATGCCAATGTATTTCCATCTCGCTTTAATATTACCCGACTGCGTGAGAAAGTGACGTAACACCGCAGTATTACACGGTGGCGTAGCGCAGAATATTCGGTCGGCTTATTATATCTATCTTCTTTTAGCGTCAATGTCTGACGGTTCTACACATATATTAATATTTTTTTAAATAAGAATTTATTGATGTCTATTACGGTAACCACCACAAAGTTTTCTGAATCGGCTCATATTTTGTATTCTTTGATTTTTTTGAACGTAAATTAAAAAAAATCAATAACCGCTATTACACATTAAATGTCAACAAAATTATGCACACTCCTTTTTTTTGAGCCTAATTACATTATTACAGTATTTTTCTAATAATATTAAAGAATCAAAATATCCAGAGTACTTTTTAATCGCCCACTTCGCTCACATAATGCATGTTACAATTTTTACTACTACAATTTATGGATATTACATGGCAATTTTCTTTTATAATTCAGTTAACTAAAATTTTATTTATTTTAACTTTTTTTTAACTTTAAGTATCACTTTCTTTGTATTTCATGTTGCATGAACATAATATAATGTGCCTGTTAACAAATTTTATGCTGCTGAATTCAATTTTATGCTGCAAATCTCAATATGGTAAGCTAGCCTGACTGTCAAAAGATGTTGTTAATAGATATATCATTTACATTATTTTCTTTATCAGGCTACTCATTAAAGAAAATCATTTCTTGCAAAAAGATATTTGCATAGGATTTGTTATAGCAATATATTATATTAACAATAATTAGGCATTGTTGAGAATAATACCTTTGACTTTTCATTTTGATGTGTATACCCAAAATTATTTAATTTTTACAAAACTATATATATTTGATTTAATTAATACAGTGAGTAATCGCATGAAAGTAGGGATCTGAATCCTTTGTCTATACCACAAGAATAAAATATGAAATGATAATTTAAAAATGAACTAACTTGTTAACTATATACTTACTAAATTATATGTTATATTCATTTTTTTTTCTAACATTGAGATTTATTGAAATTATTCCCCTTTAACTTCTTCTAATAATCCTAAATTTATAAATGTTTCTCATTACTTAATACATTTAGTTCATTTCTTATTTTATATTGAAATTACTTTGCCAAATATATAAAATATATTAAATTTAAGTTTTTGACTTTTTCAATATATTTAGACCATTTACTTGGAGGTTTTCCTTGAATTTAAAATATTTTAATTTAATGTTATTTTGGTACATTCTTTCATAAAAAAAACATTGCTATGTCCAACATTAGTAAAGTAACTATAAATTGTATAATGTCATCGGGGTCAATAGTACAAATGGTTGTTCCTCAGGGATCGATCTTGGGCCCATTCCTGTTTTTAGTCTACATTAACGATTTGCCAAATGTGTTAGAAAAAAGCCTCAATTCGGTTTGAGGAACACTTCAACAACAGGAACACTTCACTGTTGCTTAATGTTAATAGGAAAGATGTTACATTAGAGCAACCAAATGAAATACTAAGTGTTGTGTAGGGCTGGTTTGCGACCAATAATTTACTTTTGAAAGCCACTAAGATTAAATGTATCAGATTTACTTTATCAAAGATGCCTCACAAACCAGGAATCTGTATTGATGACAACATCCTACCTCTTGAGGATTCATCAGCATTGAAACGTTCCCAAGTGAGCAGGCGGTTCACCTGATGTTAAGTGAATACCGCCGCCCATGGACATCTGCTACACCCGAGGGTTACAGATGCGTTGACAACCTTTTGAAGATTGGGCTCCGGCTACCTCACTCACCAGACGAAACGCGAAAGTATTTATTATACTTCCACTTTACGCCGGTCTTCTGTGAGGTCGTGGTACTTACCCGGACGAGGCTGCCCATTCGCTTATTTTTATAAACAGCCGAGGCTGCTGCGTGGCCCTACCACGGTTAAATTCTGACGAAATATTAGAATTTTAATATGACGAGTCCGTGCCAAGGTATTGGCAACTACGCTGCGGCGTTAGGGTTCATGGGTTCGATCCACACACGGGACAACTATCTGTGTGACCAATGATAGTTGTTTCTCATCTGGGTGTTGGTCCACGTGAAGTTTATGTTTGTAAAACGTCCTTACAACCCAGGTTATCCAAATGTCAACACCGTACCTTATACTACATTCTTCAATTTATGGTAAGTTTCCTTTTTTTTCACCCATCCCTTCCAACCAAACCGAACCATTCGCTCTTAATCTCCGTAGCCATGTCCAGTCCAAATAACTATAGGGCGATAGTAACCCTAGCTACTTTTCTAATCACCATATGCCCACAACAAGTTCCGTATAAAATTATTGAATTCAAGCAAATGCATTCGCAAATGCATTCTGCAAATTTATTTTTTCTTTTCACACTTTGAGTGACATGTCGCCCGACCCGTGCTCTAAATTTTTTCTTTGTGCTCTACTTAGCCCTTAAAGCCCATCGCATAGACAAAGTCAAAGTCAAAAGTCAAATATCTTTATTCAATATAGAAGCATACACTTACTTATTGATAGTAAAAAAAACTCTACCACCGGTTCGGAAGGAAAGCCACTGACTTGAGAAGAACCGGCGTAAAATACTCAGGGAGACATTTTTTTTTACTTGCCAAAAAAATTTGAAGAATTTGAGAAAAAAAATTGATTTGAAAGAGCCTGAAGCGATCAATTCATTTCCAGAGTTTGTTATCATTCAAATAATCACTAATACTATAATAGCCATTAACACACAAACGTTCCTTTACAAGTTTTTTGAATTTAGCAACGGATTCATTTTGAACGTTTTCAGACATTTTTCTAGATTAAAGGACAAGCTAGAAAAGGCATATAGTAAGTACTATTAGTGTCCTACCCAATTAGGTGCAAATCATTCCTTTCAAGATAAATGTAAGTGTGACAACATTATTTCTAGTAATTCCATGTTGACCGCTGCTAGAAATTAGACATATTTTCATATCAAGCGGTTTTTGCCAGGCAAACATACAATACTGTTGCTTCGTTATTTCACTGTTTTGGTCAACAAAGAGTTGTGATTTTGTGATGAGTGGTGCGTCCAGGTTCGTGTGGGAATGCAAATGCAGAGCGTATCGGAGAACATGCACTTTTTATTTATTTCGCGAGTAACGCGACCGTGCTGAATGACGGTGAGCCGTGTCGGTGTCGCGTGTTTCTTTCTCCGTGTTATGAAAATAACTAACGTAACAAAAGTGTAGGTGACACTCAATTTATGAGAGCAGCATTGCTTGCTGTCCACATACGCCTTATGTTGTTTCTCTGGTGTAATCATTAACCGACGATATGTTTGAAAAGAGAAGTTTTAAGGGACAAACAGTTTGATTTCGACATTATTCGCGGCTACTTTAGTTTCTTTTTTGTTATTATTTCGACAATATGCAGGTTTCCTCACGATGTTTTCCTTCACCGCGGAGCACGTGATAAGTCAGCACTTAAAGTTAAAAACTTCATTGGTGCCGGCACCGGGGATCGAACTCAGGTTGCTCGAGTATATTGAATTAAAGGCGAGCGCCCGGACACAGAGCTATCACGGCTCTTTTAATCTTTTAAAAAAAATATTTCGAA